AGCGAAGCCCAGACAAGGCAGCACCTACCTACCCCAGGATGAGAGACGAGGCAGAGGACTATCAACACCAAGGCCGGCCCTCCAGAGCTCAGCACAGAGAGGAGAGGGCAGAGAGGGAGGAGCCACCCCAGTTCAGAGGGAAGTTCGATGGTGACCCAGACAACCTCACCCAATTCCTCGATTCAGCTGAGATATACATAGAGCGTTTTGGACACCTTTACCCTTTCCCCAGAGCCCTAGTGAATGCCATTTCGGAAGGGCTGGAGGGAGAAGCAAAGAGATGGTTAGCATCCCTCTATAAAAACAGGGCCCCCCAGCTGCAAGATGCGGATGGGTTCTTGCAACTATTGAGAGCCCGTTATGAGGAGGAGGAGGATGACCCCTATGTGGAAGACAAGCTCAGAAACCTAATGCAGAAGGGGAAGCCCATCAAAGAGCATATCCGTGAATTCAGGAGAGTCATTGGGACACTGCCTACCCTGCCAGAGCGATTGCTGCTGTATTTTTTTAGAACAAGCCTAGATAAGAGAATTTCCCAAGTGACTGCTTATCGTGATATCCCAAACCGACTCTCTGAATGGTTCCGGGTAGCGATAAAAGTCGATAGAGGGTTGTGGGCGAGCGACACGCCGAAACCACCAGAGGGAAAGGAGAGAGGTCGACCAGACCAGGGGCCACTCAACAGACGAGAAACCCCAACATCACAGCCCTCCTACAGACCAACTGCCCCACAGAGCCCACTGAAATGCTACAGATGTGGAGGAAGCGGCCACATAGCAGCAAGATGTGGAACGCCTAGACCGGGACCAGCTCCACCGCCCAAAGCACGACCGGAACGAGGGCCCAAGCGCGTCACCCACGTACCATGGGAAGCTCCCCAAATCCCTGAGTTTTTCGCTCATCTGACCGAAACCAGAGGAATCCCAGTGGAGGGAGATCAGTCCCCCGAACCCTATGACACGGAAGACGAAGGCGAGGATGACCCGATGGTGAGTGGACCCGTCCATCCTTTTCTTTTCCCCATACGCCTAACAGCCCCCAAAACAGGGGCCCAAGAGACTTTCCAAGGCCTAATAGACTCGGGTAGCACACGGTGCCTAATCAACCTACCCACAGTTCTAAAATTGGGAATCCGAGCTAAACAGCTCAAACAACCAATTCGCTTCGAGCAAGTTGATGGGTCCCTAGTGGGAGGAGCGTACACCACACACTTGACTGAACCCATGAGACTAGAACTCGCAGATCACTGGGAGACGATCCGCTTCATAATAGCCCCCAAGATGACAGAACCAGTCATATTGGGACTCTCGTGGCTCGACAAATGGGGCCCAATCATTTGGTGACAAGAGGGAACCCGCAGGCTGAGAATAGCAAAGGGGCCCCAACCCCTGCCACCCCGACCAGAAGAATTCCCTCCCACGCTGAAACCCCAAAGCAGCCCTCCACTACAGAAGAAAACACCACCAACGCAAGGGTCCCTCCCAAAAGGTGCAGCAAAGCAATTGGCAACTGCACCCACCACCGCTTGTAATGCAAACCAGATCCCAAGGGAGTACCAAGACCTTGCAGGGATATTTAGCGAGGCCGAGTGTGACATTCTGTCCCCCCACCGCGAGACCGATTGTGCCATCGAGATTATCCCAGGAGCGAAACTACCCAAACCTAAAATGTATGCCATGACGCCCCGAGAAATGCAGGAAATGCGAGACTACATAGACAAAAACTTACAAAGGGGATTTATTGAGCCAGTGAAACCAAGGGTAGCGGCGCCGGTCATGTTTAAAGAGAAGAAGGATGGCTCCATGAGACTGGTGGTCGACTTTCGAAGTATCAACGCTGTTTGTGTACACAACTTGTACCCCCTCCCCCTCATGAAAGACATGCTAGCCCACCTAGCTAAAGGGAAGGTTTTCACCAAACTAGACCTTCAAGAAGCTTATTACCGAGTACGCATAAAGGCAGGAGATGAATGGAAAACAGCATTCAACTGCCCCCTGGGTAGTTTCCAGTTTAAAGTAATGCCCTTTGGATTGCAAGGAGCCCCGGCAGTATTCATACAGTTAATAAACGAAGTCTTACATGAACACCTTTACAAAGGGGTCCTCGTCTACCTGGATAATATTCTTATCTACACGGAGACCATATACGAACATATACCCCTCGTCCGCCAAGTACTGAAAAAGTGCTACGGGCAAACCTATATGTCAAACTGCCAAAATGCGATTTCCACCAATCATGGCTAGACTACCTGGGCTACCGAGTATCAAACGAGGGGATAGAGATGGACCCAGCCAAGGTCCAATCAGTTCTACAATGGCAGCCCCCTCGCACCCGCAGACAACTGCAAAGTTTTCTAGGCTTTGCGAATTTCTACAGACAATTCATCCCCTTGTTCGCGAAGATTGCCAAACCTTTGACGGACCTCCTAAAGACAGGAAGCCCAGCGATGAAACCTCTCCCGGGACAACCCCTACAGTGGGACCTGACCTGCCAACAGGCATTTGAGATGCTAAAAGGACTGTTCGCGAAAGAACCTGTCTTAAAACACCCGGATCTGGAACAGCCTTTTGTCATCCAAGCAGACGCAAGTGATGTGGCAGTAGGAGCTCTGTTACTCCAAAAGAACAACCAAAGTGATCTACAACCCTGCGCCTACACCTCCCGCAAACTCACCGATACTGAGAGGCGATGGGCGGCGTGGGAGAAGGAAGCGTTTGCAGTAAGGTGGGCCTTATTGACCTGGCGGCACCTTCTAGAGGGAGGCCAGAAACCATTTGAAGTCTGGACTGATCATAAAAACCTAGAGGCCCTAAAAACCCCACGAAAACTGTTGCCCAGGCAAGTGCGGTGGGCACAATACTTCAATCATTTCAATTTCGAGCTTAAGCACATCCCAGGAGGGAGAAATTTCCTGGCTGACGCCCTCTCCTGGATGCCCCAATACAACAGTGAGCGGGAGCAGGTAGTGAATGCCATCATCCCCTCCTCCCAAGCTGCGGCCCAAGTGATCACCAGACGGCAACAACGTGACCAGCAAGGCCAACTTGCAAGTGACTTAACTGCAAAATTAAAAAATGAAACACTGACAGACCCCTGGTATCGGGACAATCAACATCTCTTGACAAAAAGAGATGAACTAGCATGGAGGGGGACAAAGCTCTATATCCCACAGAGTTTACTCATCCTGATTCTCAAGAGGAGCCATGACGTTAAACCAGCAGGACACTTCGGGTTCCTAAAAACTCTGCACCTAGTACGAAGGCAGTTCTGGTGGCCACACATGAGAAAGGACGTAGACAGTTATGTAAAAAGCTGCACCATTTGTGCCATGATGAAGACAAGACCAGGGTGCCCGCCTGGATTGTTGCAACCAGTAGCTGAGCCAACAAGACCATGGGAGGAGATTGCAATGGACTTTATAGTAGACCTACCGAGGAGCAGTGGAAATACAGTGATCTGGACCGTAATAGACTTATTCTCCAAACAGGCACACTTCATTCCTTGTAGTGGACTGCCTTCAGCCCATCAGTTATCCAAACTGTTCCTGAAACACATTTACCGCCTACATGGAGTCCCCAGGAGAATCATCTCCGACAGAGGGGTCCAGTTCACAGCAAAGTTCTGGAGGGAGTTTCTACGATCCATAGGTTCATCCCAAGGGCTCAGCTCAGCATTTCACCTGAGCACCAATGGGGGGGTAGAAAGACTGAACACTATGATAGAACAGTATTTAAGATGCTACGTCGACTACCAGCAGTCCAATTGGGCAGACCTCCTATCTTTTGCGGAGGTTGCATATAATAATGCTGTCCACAGCAGCACAGGGCTAACCCCGTTCAAAATAGTGAGTGGCATGGATTTTGTTCCCATGCCAGAATACCCGAGGGAGCCCCCTTCCTCAGTCAGTTTGACCGACTGGATGGCAATGTTGAGACAAACTTGGGAGAATGTAAAGAGGGCGCTGGCAAAGGCGGCTCAATCTTATAAGGAACAAGCAGACAAGCACCGAACTCCCCAAAGACCATTTCAGCTGGGAGAGAAAGTTTACCTCTCCACCAAGTACTTGAGACTCCCGAGCAGGAAATTGGGCCCAAAATTTATAGGACCATTTCCTATAATAAAAATAATCAACCCCGTTACAGTGCAATTGCAGTTGCCACGGCTTTTGGGGAAAATTCACCCCGTTTTTCACAGTAGCCTTCTAAAACCTGTAGTGGGGTCTACTTTAAGGCCAACGCCACGTGAACCCCCTGGGGCCCTGGTTGTTGGGGGCCAAACGCACTACGAAGTGCAGCGGATTCTTGATTCAAGATGGCACAGGGGGTGCCTTCAGTACTTAATTAAATGGAAGGGTTACCCATTGTAAGAGGCTTCCTGGGTGAAGAGCGCAAACATTCAAGCTGACCGCATTATAACAAAATTCCATGCAGACCACCTGGGAAAGCCGGGAGGGGGTGCACAGCCAAGGAGGGGCTGATGAGACTAATCTTGTTGTGTTTTTCCCTATGGGATAGGTGATGTCGCAGAAGTGAAGGGAGAGGGGCCGGATGTCAGCGTTCCAAATTAGGCTCTCTTCCAGCGCTGACATGAACAAGATGAAGCATAGAGCAGAAGCTTGATTTATTGCTGAGATGAACTTTTACCTAGCTTTTTGAATGTTACAGATAGTGTTTCCTAGGTGACGAGGGTGGGGGCCACATTCCTGTGAAAAGAACATGCCAGGATGTAGAGATGGATCTGCATGATGGCCAATGGGACATTGGGGTTGGAGAGCGGAAGAGGAGGGGGTTGGAAGGAGGGGCCAGTTTGGCTGCAATTTGAATCAGGAATGTCGGATTCTGCTATTCTTAAAATAAAAGTGATTCATTAGAGACTTTGCGCTTGAGAATGAAGTTTATTTAAGATAGCCCCGAAACCTGACAGTTAGGCAGTCTGTAGTGACTTGCTTCTATGTCTCTCTCTTGTTTCATAGGTGGTTGTTTCTGCGCATGCTCATCTCTCATTTGTGCTGTGCAGTCATCGGGGAAGGATCTCTCAGCCAGAGCTCTCGCTCGTAGGCCCCATTCGCTTGGGCAGAGGGTCGGTTCTGGTCTGGAAGCCTCTGGGAGATCGAAAGGGTCTCGAATCATCATGTGGTCTTCCAGGATGCCTCTCCGGATCGTCGTTTGATGTTGAAGACCTGCAGCGAAGTGACGGACATCAGGGAAGCATGGCTCCGCGTTGCATTCATCGAGGGGGAGCGGATTGAAGATGTCGCCTGTCGCAGGATCGGGATGTCTCTTCGGTGTCTGTAGGATTGGTAAGTATTTTTCTTGCTTTCTGGGGATCGGTGCAGTTGCTGTTTGTCATTCGTGTGTGTTCCAGGGTTGTAGTGTTGGCATGGGGGTGTCAATATGGTCACGGTAGTTTCTAGGGCAGGCTTCGTTAGAGTCCATTTCAGTGCGGTAGTTTTTTGTTGCATTTTTGGAAGCATTTGGGCTTTCATTGGGGAACTTTATATTTTTACCGAAGGCTGCTGTTAAAATTTGCATGGCCTTCTCTATTTCTTCTCTGCTGGGTAGATTTTCAGGAGGGTTGTAGTTTCCTTCTTCGCTTTTATCGTCACTGTCCGATAGGTTTTCTAGTGAGTAGGCCCTCGTTCCCGCCTTAGTATTTGAATTGGGAGACCCCCTCTGTGATTGGTCGGCCATTTTAGTTAATATTTCTGGGCAAGATGGCCGTTGCGAAAAAGGCACGAAAGTTGTTTCTGCTCTTTTGGTGGGTGTTAAACAGATGGTGGATTCTCTTACCGGATCAAGGTCTTCTTGTTCTGTTTCGGGGTCAGGTTTGTTGTTCTTAGTCGCTGCTTCACAGTCTTTTATTAGATCTTGGAGTTTCATGATTAAGTCTTGTTTGCCTGGTGTGTTGTTGATCATTTCCAGCAGGTTTCTTTTAAGATTATCTTCCTTGCTTGGCGAGATTTCAACGAAGGTTTCTTTCTCATCTCCTTTTGTTGAAGTTTCCTTCGAGGTGTTGGTCTCTGGTGAAAGTTGGGCTGCCATCTTTTGTGCACAAGCCCGAGTATTGGTTCTTTTTCTTTTGGATTTTTGAATTTCGTTGTTTTCAGATATCTGGATTTAGTTGGGCTGTAAACCATCCTCTGCTACCATATTTGTTAGAATTTGAGGATCTTGCCCAATAATTACTCAGAGTCTTTTATGATGATAATAAATGTCATTTATTTATATCTGATCTCTTGCAGGAGAAGCAGAGGAAGAACCAAGAATCAGGGAGGGTTCGATATATATACAGGGAGGAGTGGTCAGAGGTAAGTAGGAGTGGTTTTGGGGATGATGTAGACAGAGTGGGAGTTAACCATAAATATATACAGAGACATATATATTAGGCATTTACATATGTAACAGAAACAGGCTCCGACTCAACCCTTCCAAGACTGAGTGGCTGTGGCTTCCGGCGTCCCGATATAGCCAGCTGGTGCCATCGGTGGCTATTGGGGGCGAGTTACTGGCGCCCATGGAGAGGGCTCACAACTTGGGCATCCTCCTGGATGCCCGGCTGTCTTTAGAAGAGCATATGACAGTCGTGGCCAGGGGGGCTTTTTATCAGGTTCGCCTGATTCGCCTTTTCTGGATCGGGACTCCTTACTCACAGTCACTCGTCACCTCCCGCCTGGACTACTGTAATGCTCTCTACATGGGGCTCCCCTTGAGGAGCACCCGGAGGCTCCAACTGGTACAGAATGCAGCCACGTGGGGGATTATAGGAGCGATGGGGTGCTCCCATGTGACACCCCTCCTGCGCGAGCTGCACTGGCTCCCGGTGGTTTTCCGGGTGCGCATCAAGGTGTTGGTTACCACCTTTAAAGTGCTCCATGGCTTAGGGCCTGGATACTTATGGGACCGCCTTCTGCCACCGATAGCCTCCCACCGGCCAGTACACTTCCACAGAGAGGGACTCTTCAGGGTGCCGTCGGCCAGACAATGTTGGTTGGTGACCCCCAGGGGGAGGGTCTTCTCTGTGGGAGCACCTGTCCTCTGGAACCACCTGTCCCCGGAGATACATAGGATCCCAGATCTCCATGCTTTTTGCCGTGCCCTTAAAACTTTTTTATTTCATCAAGCCAGGCTGGCTTAACCCCCCCCCCCTTAGACATTTTTAATTGTTAATTGATTTTAGTTGGGGTGTTTTAAATTTATTGGGCCAAAATTTGTTTAATTTTTTTTAAATTTAAATTTTGTATGTCATGTTTTTATTTTTGGCTGTTCACCGCCCTGAGTCCAGTGGGAGAAGGGCGGTATAAAAATCTAATAAGATAAATAAATAAATAAAATGTTTTATTGCAGGTTTGAAAGGAAACTACAGCCACCTATCGCCACAACCCCCATCTCAGACACACCAACAGCCAAGCCTCCTACAACTGACCCCATCTCAGACACACCAACAACAGCCAAACCTCCTACAACTGTTCCCATCCCATTGGGTTCACAACCCCTAGTGAACACAGAGCCACTGTTAGACCCCTTGCAATTTGCATACTGAGCAAATAGATCAACAGATGATGCTGTTAATATGGCTCTGCACTACATCCTACAACATCTTGAATCTCCAAAGACCTATGCAAGGGTCCTCTTTGTAGACTTTAGTTCAGCATTCAATACCATCATTCCAGATATTCTTCTAACTAAGCTAAACCAGCTAGCGGCACCTGAACACACCTGTAAGTCATAAGTTTCCTAACAGAAAGGAAGAAGCAGGTGAAGCTAAGCAGAATCACATCAGATACCTGTACAATTAGCACAGGGGCCCCCCAAGGCTATGTGCTTTCTCCACTTCTCTTCTCTCTATATACCAATGACTGCATCTCAAATGATCCATCTGTTAAACTACTGAAGTTCACAGATGACACAACAGTGGTCGGTCTCATTTGAGATAATGAGGAATCCGTATACAGACGGGAAGTTAAAAAACTAGCCTAATGGTGCAACCAGAACAATTTGGAACAGAGCACACTCAAAACTGTAGAAATGGTGTAGAGTTTAGGAAAACCCCTCCCATACTCTTACGATACTAGACAACACAGTATCAACAGTAGAGATCATCAAATTTCTAGGTTCTACCATATCTCAAGATCTAAAATGGACACCTAATATCAAAAACATCATCAAAAAAGCACAACAAAGAATGTTCTTTCTGCACCAACTCAGAAAGCTCAAACTGCCCAAGGAGCTGCTGATACAGTTCTACAGAGGTATTATATAGTCTGTCATCTGCACCTCTATAACTGTCTGGTTTGGTTCTGCAACCCAACAAGACAGACACAGATTTCAGAGGATAATTAGAACTGCAGAAAAAACAATTACTACCAACCTGCCTTCCATTGAAGACCTGTATACTGCATGAGTAAAAAAGAGGGCTGTGAAAATATTCACAGACCCCTCACATCCTGGACATAAATTGTTTCAACTTCTACCCTTACAATGACACTAAAGAGCATTGCACACCAGAACAATTAGACACAAGAACAGGTTTTTCCCATCACTCTGCTAAACAAATAATTCCCTCAACACTGTCAAACTATTTACCCATCTCCTCCCACTTATGACTGTATGACTGTAACCTTGTTACTGGTATCCTTGCAATTTATGTTGACTGTTTCCTAATATGATTCAATTGCTTATTTATACCCTATGACTATCATTATGTGTTGTACCTTATGATTCTTGACAAATGTATCTTTTCTTTTATGTATACTGAGAGCATATGCACCAAGACAAATTCTTTGTGTGTTCAATTACACTTGGCCAATAAAAAATTCTATTCTATTCTATTCTAGTTGATTTGTTATTGTACTTGCAGCGATGTCCTTATGTAAAGACTCTATTTCGGTTTCTTGGGGTAGGTTTTTGCAAAAAAAAAAACCCTTTTTCATAATACTTTATTAATATATATTCTGTTGTTTGTGTATACCCATTTCAAATCTTCCTTTCAAACCCTCCATTTTTATAAGTTTTAATCACTTATTACTATATTCTTGCTGAAAAATTCTTTTTTACTGGTGATTACTGGGTTTTGGTTCAGATATGGTAAGAAGGTTAACAACTGTTTCTTTTAAAAATTAATATTAAATATAAGTGTAATAAATTGATTTTATTCTATAGAACTTCCAGATACGTTAAATATCCTAATAGCATCAGTATAGAATAATACCAATGCTCATTTATTTCGAAAACAATTTGCAAGTATATCTTGCACCACTTTCTCAATAGAAATAAAAATTCTGTTTCTTGCACTGAAAGAGGGTAAGAAAGAAAACAAGATTCTGGCTGCTTTGATTGGCCTATATATACATATCTCATTTGAAAGTAAAATTACTCTCCATAATTCTTGCATTGTCATTCTAATCTTTTGCTCAGTATTTTACTATTCTGGCTTCAGAGAGAATTGTTCTTGGACTGATTGTTTCCAGCCCTGATTAGTTAGAAAAGCCTGCTTGCAACTTGTAGAATTATTTAAAATTTCCTACCATGGCATCTGTGGTAGATGTATATCCCTGTATAACAGTGATGTTCACTGAATATCCACTAATACTGTGTTTCCCAGAAAATATGACTGGTCTTATTTTCTTTTAACCCCCCAAAAATGGCTATGGCTTCTTTTTGGGTGGGTGTAATTATTGACTCACTTCATGGCAGCACCAACAGCCCCACCCAGCAGGAGCCTGATGCTGGCCCACTTCTGCAGCCGCATGCCACCATTTGCACGCATTGCCCCCTGCCTCCATTTCGCCATCACAGCCTTCCAGAAAGCTCTCTGCAGTTGAGAAACAGGCTCTAGATTGACGCATATGGCGCCTCCTGGCTTCCATTTCACCTTCAGATGCCTTCTGGAAAGCCCCTGTAGCTGATAAAAGAGCTCCGGATCAACTGCAGCTCTTATAACAAAACAGAGACTGGGGGCAATGTGCGCATCAATCCGGATCTAGTTTCTTGGCTGCAGAGGGCTTTCCGGAAGGCTGTGACGGCAAAATGGAGGCCATGGGTGATGTATTTTTTTTTATTTTATTTTTATTTATTTTATTTCCAATTTCTATACTGCCCTTCTCCCTGAGGACTCAGGGCGGTGTACAGCCAGAATTAAAAACATGCAATACAAATATTAAAAAAACAATTAAAATATATATAAATTTGGCCCAAAATTAAAAATCACTACCAATTAAAACATTTTAAAAAAATTCTTCTTAAGCCAGCCCAGCTTGCTGGAAAAAATGAGTTTTAAGGGCACAGCGGAAGGCACTAAGGTCTTGGATTCTCCTTATCTCTGGGGGCAACTGATTCAAGAGGGTAGGTGCCCCCACAGAGAAGGCCCTCCCCCTGGGGATCACCAGCCTGCACTGTTTGGCTGATGGCACCCCGAGGAGGCCCTCTCTGTGGGAGTGCACAGGTCGATGGGAGGTCGTCGGTAGCAGCAGGCGGTCTCGAAGATAACTAGGCCCTATGCCATGGAGTGCTTTAAAAGTGATAACCAACACCTTGAAGCGCACTCGGAAGACCACCGGGAGCCAGTGCAGCTCACGCAGGAGCGGTGTTACATGGGAGCGCCATGCTGCGTTTTGGACCAGCTGGAGCCTCCGGGTGCTCTTCAAGGGGAGCCCCATGTAGAGAGCATTGCAGTAGTCAAGGCGAGAGGTGACGAGGGCATGAATGACTGTGCACAGGGAATCCCGATCAAGAAAGGGCCGCAACTGGCGAATCAGGTGAACCTGACAAAAGGTGCCCCTGGTTACAACCATCAGATGTTCCTCCAAGGACAGCTGCATATCCAGGAGGACTCCCAGATTGCGAGCCCTTTCTGTGGGGGCCAAAGACTCGCCCCCAATAGTCAGTGATGGAGTCAACTGACTATATCGGGATGCCGGGAGCCACAGCCACTCAGTCTTGGAAGGGTTGAGTTTGAGCCTGTTCCTCCCCATCCAGATCCGCACAGCCTCCAGGCACTGGGACATCACTTCAAGGGCATCGTTGGGGTGGCCTGGGGTGGAGATGTACAGCTGGGTATCATCAGCGTACTTGTGGTATCTCACCCCGAAGCCACGGATGATCTCACCCAGCGGCTTCACATAAATGTTGAACAGAAGGGGCGAGAGGACTGATCCCTGCGGCACTCCACAGATGAGAGGCCTCGAGGTCGACCTCTGCCCCCCTGCCAACGCAAACTGCGACTGGTTGGAGAGAAAGGAGGAGAACCACCGCAACACGGTGCCTCCCACCCCCAACTCTTCCAGCCGGTGCAGCATGATACCATGGTCGATGGTATCAAAAGCCACTGAGAGGTCTAACAGGACCAGAACAGAGGAGCAACCCCTGTCCCGATCCCTCAAGAGATTTTTTATTTTTTATTTTATTTTAATTTGATTTATATGCCGCCCTTCTCCGAAGACTCAGGGCGGCTTACAATGTGCTCAGCAATAGCCTTCATCCTTTTGTATTTATACAAAGTCAGCTTATTGCCCCCACAAACTGGGTCCTCATTTCACCTACCTTAGAAAGGATGGAAGGCTGAGTCAACCTTGAGCCTTGGCGAGATTCAAACCCTGCAGTAATTGCAGGCAGCTGGTCTTAATAAGCTTAATAACAGGGTGCCTTAAACCCCTGTACTACCAAGGATCATCAACCAACGCGACCAATGCCGTTTCCGGGCTGTGCCCAGACCTGAAACTCGACTGGAACGGATCTAGATAAGATGTTTCCTCCAGGAATTGTGGAAACTGTCATGCGACCACACTCTCAACAACCTTCGCCATGAAGCGAAGGTTGGAGACAGGACGGTAGTTGGCCAATATTGCCGGATCCAGGGATGGCTTCTTGAGGAGAGACCTCACCACCGCCTCTTTCAAGGCAGCGGGGAAGTGACCATCACTCAACAAAGCGTTGATAACACCCTGGAGCCAGCCTCCTGTAACCTCCCAGGAAGCCAGTACCAACCAGGAGGGACACTGGTCCAGTAAACATGTGGCCGCACTAAGTCTCCCCAAAATCCTGTCCACATCATCAGGAGTCACAGCATCAAACTCCTCCCAGGTAACATTCTCAAGACTATTCCTCATCACCCTGCCCTGATCTACCCAGTCAGAGTCCAAATCCCCCGGATCTGAACGATTTTGTCATACAGGTATTGTCCGAAATCCTCCGCCCTGCCTTCCAAGGGATCCTCCCGCACTCCCGGATGGAGCAGGGAGCGGGTTACCCTGAACAGGGCGGCCGGACGATTCCCTGATGACGCAATAGAGGCGGAAAAGTAATTAAACTTTGCCATCTTTATCACCACTAGGTAGGCCTTAATATGCAACCTTACCAGTGTTCGATCACATTCAGCGAGACTGGCCCTCCAACCGCTCTCCAGGCGTCTTTTCCGGTGCTTCATTTCCCTTAGCTCCTCAGTAAACCAAGGAGCCACCTGGGATCGGCACCGGGTCAGAGGCCACAAAGGCACGACTTGGTTCAAGGCCCCACCAGCCGCCCGGTCCCAGGCGGCTACCAGGTCCTCGGCCGAGTCATGTGCTAGATCCTCAGGAAATGGCCTAAGCTCCATCTGGAACCTATCAGGATCCATCAGGCGCCTGGGGCGGATCCATCTAATTGGGTCCGCCTCCCTGCGGCGAGGGGTAGCGGTTTGAAGATCCAGGCGAAGGAGCGAGTGGTCAGTCCATGACAAGGGTTCCATGTCTATATCCCCTATAACAAGACCACTCAACCATTGGCCAGAGACAAAAATCAAGTCCAGAGTGTGACCTCCCCTGTGAGTAGGGCCATGAACTAACTGGGTCAGGTCCATGGCCGTCATGGAAGCCATGAACTCCTGAGCCACCTCAGACGTTTCACCAATGGATGGCAAGTTGAAATCACCCATGACTAAAAGCCTGGGTGTATCTACTGCCACCGTGGCTATCACGTCGAGTAGCTCAGGTAGGACTGTTGCCACACGGCAGGGAGCCAGGTATGTAAGCAACAAGCCCATCTGAACC